AAAGAAGACAGGTCATTGGTGGATGATAAAGAGGAAAGAGCTGGGCTTTAGAGTCAGACGAGGTTGAATTCCCAGCTCTCCTGCTGGCCAGGTGTGTTACCTGGGGGACGTGACTTATTACCAACCAGTATGTTTCCTGTCACGTAAAGGAGTCGTAGTACATCCTTCAAGGGTGGTTGTGCCTAAGAAAGACCACACGTAGACTATTCAGGTTAGTGCCGGGCACATGCTTCTCAGCGTGATTCACTGCAGCCGTGACTATTTTTGTTGCCATTTTTATTCATATTACTGTTTTCAGCCTGCAAACAGCTTCACCTTACCCGACCTCTAGCTGATTTTAAAGTATTATATTTCAGACTAGGAAAGAAATGGGGAATCCTTTATTTAAATCTTTACCTTCTCCAGATAAGTGACCTCAGCATCCTTTCTTGTCCATCAGAGGACTTTAAATTAGCCACTTCCACTCTGTGCTACCCAAGTAGGACAGGAGGCTTCTGTTTTGTCCATTTTGGCCTTGGAGGTAATTTGCAAAGATGAGCACTCGAGCATGTAAATGGTCAGTTCTCCAGGGGTGGGCAGGATATTAACTTGGTAAAATAGATCAGATGAACTGTTTAAGTTAAGCTAACTAAGTTCCTAAGGGTGAAGTTGTTTCTTTTAGATCAGCACTCATGCTTGCTGCATATCATGACTCACCGGACATAGTCAAGCTGCTGTTTCAGAAACGTGTTGATGCCGATTCTCAAGATGCACAAGGATGGCCTGCTGAAAGATACGCTTGTTATTATGGTTTTAAACAGTAAGTGTTTACATTAAAGTGCCAGTTATCTCTAAACTGAGGTTGGAAGTGACCTGTTACTTGTTATGTGACAGGTAAGAGTTCCTAGTTGGGAGCAGGCACTTTGGGGATGGCAGTGAGACCCTTCACGTCATCAGCTGGAAACCAGCAAAAGGCCGGACTAGTGAGATGGAGCAGTGGGCACAGGGTTCTTTATCTCAGGATTTGTAAGACGTTTACCCTTAGGGTCCTCCTGGTCTCCATTTCGTTCCAGTGTAACCCCTATGCATGGGGTCCAAATAATGTCACAGATGTGATTTTTCTAACTAGTTATTTGGGTCTTGAAATGTTCAGCAGAGCAGAAACTCCTGTATTTTCCTTTGGGGACTTTCTTCTATAATCTTCCTCTTGAATTTTCCAGGAACCTAAGGGATTCCCTAAGATCACAGTGACAGTCCTCTCCCACAAGGCATTGGGGCAGGGCGAGGGCATTCTAATCGTTCTCTTGTTTCCCTTGATTCTGTTGCTGCAGCGTTGGTACTAAAACTAGTTTTAACAGGATCTCCATGGCAGCTGAGTCTGGAGTCTGGATGTTGCTCTCTAAAGAGCTTTAATAAAACTTTAAAAGAAGAAAAGGAAAAAGAAACTGGTCCTGCAGTCGGGTCGTGATTGACCTCTGCTCCCGGGATGCCTGTGCTGATCCAGTTTCCGTGGTCTTCGTGGTGATCGACACGTAAACTTCAGCGTGACGGCTTGTTTAGTTCTCGTACATATGCTTGTATGAGGTCATATATTTATAAATAAATGTAGCTACAAATTATGTAGTAGCCGAGGTGCCCTGAATTATAAACCACGAAGAACAGCTAATCACCGTAATGTAATTTGTAACATTTTCTGAAAACTGCCACATTTAAATGTTACACCTAGGAAAGAAAACACACATTGGGTTTTATCTGGGATTCTCAAATAGTTCCAGCATTTAAGTTCAGGAAGAAATTATTCCATTCTTCCACTATTTCTCTGAACATCTGGGGGATACATTATCTCATTAAATCTTCGTAATACTCATGAGTATTAATAACTAACTGCCTGACAGTAAGATCCCAGTTTTATAAAGGAAGACTTTGAGCTGAAGAGAAGCAACTTTTCCAGGAACAAATAGCTGTTGGTTATAGAGCTGGGACTTCTGAGTTTGAGATACCTTCCATATGTCAGGCTTGCTCTAGTTAACTTGCTGAGCTGTACTGCCCTCAGCCCATGACTACTTCACCTTAACGTTTTTTTCTTTTTTAATTGTACATGCTAAATTTAAAAGTTTGTAGATTGTACAAATTTGAAGTATATGGGACAATTGAAGGTTTGATACTACCTCTGATGTTGTCTGAAATAATCTAAGAATTTAATATATTTGGTAATTGTTTGTCATATTAGTATTCAAGTAGTAATATTTATTTATCACTGTTTTTGTACGTAGCATTTACCAACTGATTGTCGACTACAGAGGCGGAAAGATACCGAATACTCCCCCTCAAAATAGCGACCTAGGACGGAGTTCTGGTAATAAGTTACTCTTGTTGGGCCTACCATAGATAAAGAAAGTAAGATTGAGGAACTTCTGATAATGAAAGAGCAGTGAAAAAAGCCAGTGTGTAAATTTCATGTGTTGTTT